GCTGAGATATTTGTATGGTATTTTTCGATTACGCGTGGCGCTTCTCAACTGGAGAAATCTGCTCAAATATTTCATGAGGCTCTGAAATATTTGGACGGATGACACGATCATGTTCCTCCGTACATAGCGCTATGTAGCGCTAAGGCTAAATATTTGACAAATATTTGGTGGAGGGGAGTACCCTCCTCCCCTCGCTCCTACATACGTCCCAAATATTTGGGATTCGTCTCGAATATCCGGGGGGGACATCCCTCCAACCGTCTCAAATATTTGGAGGGGCCACTATAACATTTGGGCCAAATAATTCGCGTTTTACTATAACTATAAGGATTGAAAAATTTATCTAACTGATATCCCTGAGACACTGGTGGCCGAACATCCTCGGTACCAAGTGGAGGTGCCGGACGGGAACAGGAAGCGTTACTTTCTTATCTGCCGACCAACCTTTGTCTCGGTACGCGTCAGTCGTGGCACGCGTGGGTACATTGCACTTGAGTATGATCCCACCCCTTCCTCTCCTGGGCAGGAACGCGTAGACCGTTTCGTCTTTCTCAAAGACGTCTGGCGGATGACAAACGAGCGCATACGGCAGGGAGGCGGTGGCATATCCTCGCAAGGCGGCGTTCTGAAGACACCTACCCTCCTTTGTCATGACAGTAGCGGGGAGCGCAGTGTGCCAGAGACGACGGCTCGTCGCTATCGGGAGCTCCAGAATTCCTCGCTATCTTCAAGCCAACCTCCATCCTATGATTTGTCTTCTGCTGGTACTATAGACTCCGTCTCATCTACGCCGAGAGGGATGATGAAGCACAAGAAGTCGGCGGATGACGGGGAACTGCCAGCGCATGCTCCAACAGGTCTTCCAGACGATTTCAATGCCGACGAAGACATCGGTATCGGAGACAGTTATTCGTTGAGGGGCCTCATTCACTACCGCTGTATCATCGAGCAAGTGGAGAAGATGCTGGGCGGGGCTGGGAGCGGGCATGAGCTGCTGTCGCGCATCGCCGATTGCGTGCAAGGTATCTCTTACGCTGTGATTCTCCGCTCTTGGTCTCTCGCCGACTCACGTCTCGCTAGCTCATCAGCAAGCGAATGAAAAGTCTGAGAGTTTCGATCGCAACGTCAGCGTGGACAATGAGCTCTCGTACCCGAAACTCGACGTCACCGAAGGGGATAGTGTCGGGCGACTGACTGACCAGGGACTGTCCGTGAACCTTGAGGGGACATGTAGAAGTCTCCAACGGGAACAACCTGTACGTCAGTCTGCGTGTTGAGATAGGGAGCCTGGAGCTCATGCTTGCAGCAGGAAATTGGCCAGTTCTCGTCTTACGCGATAGCGATCTCGCGCTACATTTATTTCCACGGGCGCTCAAAGCTGGCGGTTGTAGCCGATGACCTGGAATCGTTCTGGTACATCCTCCTCTACCACGCCATCCTCAGGATCCGATCAAACTGCAGTGGGTGGGCGATTTGGATACAATTCTTTCAGAGCCACCTCGCCATACTAGAGAGGGAGCTTGCCGTCCGATTCGGGGTCCTCGAGATCAGAGGAGTGGGTAAACTCTCGTTCAAGGATGCCACGATAAATGGCGTGATCTACGACTTGCTCGGTTTATTCCCCGCACACTACAAGGTCGTGGAATATGACAGGCGCCGCAAACTCCACCCCTCCGACAAAAACCCTCCGCCCACAGGCGCGGAGCTGGCTCTCGCCGAGAACGTCAAGGATCACGAGATGTTCCTAGAGATTCTCGAGAAGGCCCTTATATCATTGAGGTGAGCTCCGGAGTGCGACAGATCGGTTTACATAGCCATCCGCTATCCTGCCCTCGAATTCTGCCTACATACTCGTTTCTCGAGCTTCACATATGACATGTCGGTGATGTACTCCATGTTCGCCGCTTCTACACGTACGACTTGCACCCCTTCTCACAGACTATCCTGAGCCTTGTTCAACTAGCTATAACGCTCGCCTTGCACTCTCGCCCTCTGACTGTCTAGGACTCCGCCCCAAGTGTGAATTGTTTCTAACTGTCCGTCCCACTGTATTTGCTGGGTACTCTGATACTCTTACTTTTACTTTGGGTGACAACCTTATTGCTTGGCAACTGGAGGACCCTGAACACAGTAGTACCGGCGAGTAAGGAACGTACTGCCATGCGCGTCTACAGGCACGCCCGGTATGGGCGCTTGTGCAGATACGCGCGACGCGACGCGTCCGGCACGGCGTCTTTGCCAGAACCCGTCGCTGAATTCCTTCATCTCAATCCACCACGACGGCACGCACATAGAGAAATCAGAAAATCACCATGGCTCGACAAACGCGCTCTCAGCGGGGGCCGCAAGCGTCACAGTCCCAGCCCCCGCGTGCCACTCAAGCCGGCCGTTCGCGACGGGCGCAGGTGGAGGAGGAGCCAGAAGAGGAGCAGGTCGCACAGGACGTGTACGACGAGGACGAAGGAGAATTGGATAAGGCTCAAGGGGTTAGTTAACCAGCCGTCTTGCGTTCACCTTCCCTACGAACCATTCTGTCGCTTGCAGGAGATCGAGAAGAAGGCCCGCGACCTGGTGCGTCTCGCTTTGTTCAACGAGCAGAGACGGATGCCTCTAAGGAGAGACGAGATATCCAAGAAAGGTGCGTCGCGTACGTCGCGGGCAATCTGACCTGGATTGAGCACATCTAGACAGTGTTGGGATCGGCTTCGCGCACCTTCAGTTCTGTTCTCGCGGCGGCAAACCAGATCCTGCAGAAAACATTCGGGATGGAGCTGGTCGAGATGCAAGCGATGCCTTCGGACAAAGACATGAGCGAGAAGGATGCGGATTTACTGAAGACTACAGGGGTCAAGAAGAAAGGTGAGTACTCTTCTACCTCGGGCGAGATTGCAGACGGGGGCTCTGACCCCAATACGTTCTCTTCGCCGTCAAGCCGCTCCTACCGGTACAAAGTCGTACATTCTACGTTCCCTCCTCGACCCCACGCTCATAGAACAGGCATGCGCGCCCGACGCCGAGATCCGTGAGATCGAGCAAAAGGAGCACGTCGACGAGAACGAGGAGTTTGCCGAGGATGACAACCCCGTCGGCCAACGGTCGACCGGAAGCATCTTCGCATGGCACGCGTCGGACCAGCTCGCGGCAACAGGCATCCTATACGTCGTTCTCGCGCTCATCCTCGTCGAAGGACGCGTGGTCAACGACGGTATGTATGCGCGTGCGCGTGCCCACACTGGACTCCTTCTCTATATCGGACTCTCGCTGACAATGAGTCCCCGGCCGTTGCTTCAGGTGACCTGCGCGCGATGCTCAAACGCCTCCAACTGCCCGCTAGCGCGTCGGTCCCGCTCAGCAGCCAAGCGACGAACAGCCAATCGCTCACGATCGACGCGTACCTCGCGCAGCTGACCCGCCAGGGCTACCTCGAGAAGCTCCGTGCGGGCACCGCCGCTGCAGGGAAGGGCGGGCAGAAGCGCGCTCGCGCGACGCAGGCGCCTGCTGGGGGCGATGACCATCTGCAGGCGTTCGAGTGGCGGTGGGGCCCGCGGGCGCTGACGGAGGTGGGAGAGAGGGGCATCGCGCAGTTCGTTGCGGAGTTCATGGCAGGTCAGCCTGGGCACGGGGAGGACGAGGACGAGGAGGAAGATGCGGTGGGGGCGGGGAGGGACGAGGGCACTCAGCGGCGGGTGCAGGTGATTTATAAGGGGATCGAGCGCGCTGCTGCGGGGGGGCAGTTGTTAGAGGCGAGGTGAGGTACCTGTTAGAATTGAGGCTGGGTTGGTCGCGCCGTGAGCAGCGATTCTTAGGTTCTTGTGTGTTACTGTGTAGTGCTCTAGTGTACGTCGTTCTGTATTTCATTGTTGTATAGCTGCGGACTAGGCGTGGGCGGACGTGCTCTCAGCCTCCTAGGACCCGCATGCAACGATTCAGGTAGTGCTCCGGGAATTACAGTGGAAACGTGATCTGATCATAACATGTGTGCATGCTAGACGACCCGGATACCCAGATATCCTCCCAAGGCGACAGAACCGGGTGCAACGTACGGTGCGGCAGAAGACTGAAGCACACCACCATGTGCGTATTTCCGAAAGAGGGCAAGATGTTTAGCGCTTATTTTCTCTCTCCAACCTCGATCGCGCAACTAAGACCTCGGTGCCTTACGCCTTGTCTCTCTGCGCTGCGTTCATCGTCAGTTATCCTATGTCCTCTTTCTAACTCGATTCTGAACCGACACCAATTACTCGCCCTGTCCCCACTATCGTAGCAGCCATACCGACTCAGCTACCCACTGGCACCAACGGTGATAACTTGAACCACCGCATGGCGACTCCGGCCGTCGAAATCGAGCACCATGACTTCCGTCGCGCATTCCTATCATTCCCTGGACGGACGGATTCTAATTCCTTACAATCTCATGATACGTTCCACATATTGAAGAGCGCAGATGCTCTGTCCGAAGAAGAGATCTCGGAGCTCTTCGTAAGTGGGAATCGTGCGCATGCGGCATTGATAGCTTGCTGACGACTTCGGTAGATCCAGCAATTGAACCGCCACTGTCTTTCTTCCGAGTCACACCTATCGACCTACTCCATTGACCACCATACCGACCCCGAGGGTCCAATCACGTATGCGGCCATATTTCGCGCCAAGGAGTCGTCCAGCAAACGGTCGCAGTCTTGGGTCGATCAGAGCGTGCCTGTGGTCTTCACCCGTCATTTCGCCGGAGGCGATCCTTTCGACCACACACAGCTCGACGACGAGTACGGAATGATGAAGGAACAGCGCCAGCGAGTCTTCAAACATCTCACCGAGATCGCGGACCTCCTGTTCGCCGCACAGCAGCGCGTCTTCCTATTCATGCTTCTCGTCATGGGTCGGAGATCTCGTGTCCTACGTTGGGACAGAGCGGGTGTGGTTGTTACGCCCTCCTTCGACTACTACGAGCGACCTGAGTTGCTTCGCGACTATCTATGGCGCCTTTCTAACATGGGATCGTCTGCACTTGGCTTCAATCCAAGTGCTACCCGCGTTCTCCCTGGTGATGGCGACTTCGTACGGATGGACTCTGCGGCTCTCCAGGACCCCAACGATGCAGACCACACCGAGCGCGATCTCACGGACGAAGTCCAGGAGCCCTCGACTTTCGCATATGTCCGCGCCATGTTCGGCGCCTCACTCGCTTCCGATTGGCCTCGCTATAGGCTACAAGTTCCCGACGGGAAAGAAAATCGCAGCTTCCTTGTCGGTAAACCTGTCTTCCGGGCCGATGGAGTATTGGGTCGCGGGACCCGCGGCTACGTCGCTCTCGATTGCGAGACGAATCTCTTTGTGTGGCTCAAAGACACATGGCGGGCAGCGTATATGATTGCACAGAGAGAATGTGACGTCCTGCAGAAGCTGAATCAGGCGGGCGTGGAATATATCCCGACGCTCGTTTGCCATGGCGACATTCTTGACAAGAGCACCGTTACTGCTGACTGTTGGGAGGACACGCATGCACTCCCGTCCACCGGCAAGCGGAAGAGGGAAGAAGACATCGGAGACGACACTAGCCATCGACGATTCGAAGCAAAGCTCCCTCCCGATCCAGTTGCACACTCGGGTCGACCTTTACGACCGCACAACCACTACCGAATAGTAGTCGAAGAGGTTGCCATACCTCTCAAGAAGTTTCGTAACGGAAGGCAGCTGGCTTCGGTAGTATTCGACGCCATTCAAGGTACGTCCTGATGTGCCCCTGAGGTGAATCCCTCGTTAACGACCTTCTTCGTAGCACATTATCAAGCGTCCACGAAGCCCACGACTCCCGTTCTTCATCGCGATATCATCTCTGGAAATATCCTTATATATCCCAAGGTCCGGTGCATCGAGGACGGTACGAGGTTGGCCATGGTGTGGACTGGCCTCCTCGTCGATTGGGAGCTGTCGAAGCCCATTGATGATCATGAGGCGTCGGCCCAAGCGACCCAAGCGGAACGTATGGTTAGAGTGTCCCTTTCAGCATCCACGAAGCTGTGGTTGACAGAAGGTGGCTAGGGTACTCATCAGTTCACGTCGGTCAACCTCTTGACTCGCCCATGGAGTCCCGTGAAAATCTCTGACGAACTGGAATCGTTCTTTCACGTCCTCGCATACAACTCCGTCCTCTACCTTCGCTCCAACTGCGACTGCCGCAGCTCATACATCGACAACTATTTCAACGACTACTCTGGCCCTGCGCGTGCTCATACGTGCGGGTGGAAGTCGTTCGCCGTCGAGATCGACAACTGGCTTTGTACGCAGGTGCCCTATAGGAGTAGGCTCCTCTTCGATAGTCCGATGGACGACCTCCTTGGCGAGATACACAAGTGCTTGAAGGCGCACTACAAGGGCCTCAACTATGACCTTCTGCAAGCGGCCCCTCCGCGTCCCAAAGTGATACATCCCCAAATCTCGGCCGCGCTGAAGTTTAGACCTGCCATCAGCATTGCCCGCATTCGTATACCGGACGAAGTCCGCAAGCGGTTGAAAAGCAAGAGCCCTCGCCTCCTGACGACACCCCGACGCCCGAGGATAGGGAACGAGCGCAACAGATCATGGACCATCAGTTCATCATGGAGCACATTGCTAGGATGCTCCGGAGCTCGCAATGGCCTGAAGACGATCGTGTCGATCCGACTGAGGAACGCCCTACTTCGTCGACCGATGCGAGCGCGGGCGTGCTTGCTTCAACTGCAACGTTCGCGAGTAACAAGCGTCGGCGGACCTCCAGTCCACCGGCAGATCGCGACGTGTACTAGTCCGGTTGTCGTCAGGATGTGGACGTCTGGTCAGTGGCGAAGTTGAGGACCACACCGCTGTTGGCTGTTGTGTGTGCCTGTGGAATAAGTTCTTTTTCTGTACAACCCACGAACCTCTCGTATGAACGCTGTTCCCTTCCGTTTTGCACCACGCTGATACTGCCGTGTGGGGGCATATGTATGTGGTCACTCTGTCTATTCCATACATTTTTTGGTTGCTTGTTGTACTACGGCAGTTCCAACTGCGCGAGGCTATGTGTACAATGGACGAAGTGTTGATATTGCTTCCCATTCTTATCGCAATTGTGCAAGTGCTATGTCCGAGCCGTGAGACGACTCAGCGTATCATTGCCCAGAACGACCCTCACAGATTAAAGAGTAGTGATCTCGTACGACTTGATTTTCATAGTCATCCCCCATTTTCCCGTAACAGTGGAGTAAGACGTCTACTGTTCAGCGGTCAGACGTAGAGCTGGCCGAACGCGTTACGTCATCAATGACTGGTATAGTCCTCATCCTCGATCAGGCGTCTATCGTGCCAACGCACGTTGTGCAGTTGCGGCGCAGCAGCAACCCCATCCTCTGCCTCAGACCTCTTGGCCATGTTAGACAGTTTCTAGCCTTGCTGTGCTCGCTCTGTGGGCTACTCCGACACTTGCACGAGAAGCCTCATCGGATACATCCCGAAAACTGGACGACGTCTTCCCTGATAACTTCCTGCTCAGGCTGCAGCATCATGTCAGCTCAACCCGTTCTCGGATCTCTGCTGAGGGCAGAGATCGTACACAATGAATGTCACTGGCCCGCTCCGGACGTGGATGCTTGAAGGACCGCCTGTGCTTTGCAGGCCTATGAACTTTGTGTTCAGCACCATCCTGAGGAGCTTCCAGGTACACTACAGGTTCATGGAATACGAAGCTCTGAAAGTCGCATCCTGCGAACCGCCTTGCCCTAAGCTGATACGCTCGCTTAGAGAGCCCCAGTCTGTAGTGCCGCTCGTGCCGTTTATGAAGGACTCCGAACAGCATATAGACGTTGCGACATGGCAGGCCGACTGGGAAGCAATAGAGAACGCAATTCACGAGGGCCGAACCCCCGAGGGACCATGCGCTTGCGGCACAGGTTGCACACCACAATTTCGTGCTCGAATTGATATTCAGGCAGCTCTCGAGCCCTCTTTGGCTTGCGGACGATTACATGCCCACCGCGTGGCGATCGGAAGGAGAAGCACACACGAACACGATGTCGGAGCCTACGCCACCGTCTTCGAAGCCTACGCCACATTGAGAGGTAGCGTCGGCGACTGACAAGCGACAGCGAGCGTATGGGACCGAGCGCAATCGCTCCTCTTCTTGTGCGTCTGCACACTTCGACCCCGTCCGTGCGACGCAGTAGGGCGTGCCTCTGGAGTTCGTGAAGATACATTGCTCACGAAAAGGACTACAACAGTTGTAAACATCCCTCCTTGTGCATGATATGGTATCCGTCAGATCCCAGCTGTGTGCCCTGTCTGCCCGTCTTCCCCCCGTTTGTACACTCCTTTTCCTTCTTGGAGTGTCCTTTTGCACTGCCTGCATCGATTCATATAGTAATAAACTTGCGTCTGTCGTTCGTTCTACTTTGTTACCTCCATCTATCTCGTTCTGATTGCTATGCACGTCAGGTGAATTCGGAGCGCGCGATGCGATCAATTCTCCATTATAGCAAACCATATGTTGTATACTCCAGGCTACACATCTTTTACATCTTCCCCATCGCACTTTCATCCGAAGGGCGTGATTCACTGCATCACAGTACCGTGTATTTGGTGTCCGAATCGATCGAATGACTCCTGGGTCCCCCTGCACGGTGTTTCCGCTCTCTCTTGCAAAGGACGCCGTTACGCTCGTTACCTTCTCAGCCTTGTACCCCGTGCTCTTGCCATGTCTCTCCGCCCACAACGTTCGTCCCCTCGGGCGGTTTTTGGTACTACCAGAGTTCGCAGCTAACTCCTCTCACACAACTTCATATCAGTCTCGGTCCCGACGCTCCCTTTATCTGTTTCCACTTTTTCGTACGCACGTCTATCTCATTGTGGACTACCAGCATACCGTCCTAATCATCCTTCACCAATTTATCCACCGATACTAGCACGCTGAGTAACCATGCCTCTTTATCAGCCACCTCTTCAGCCACGACTGCTTCAACTACACCCACATTTTTTCGCCATCCAGTCGAAACACCCCCTTCGAAGACTGCTACCTCGTCGTCCATTTCATCCACCTCTTCCTCCTTCCCTCTTACCTCATCCGCCACCTCTACATCTACCTCCACGACCCCAACGGCCACTGCCTCCATCAAGTCAGGCTCTGCTGTTGTCACCACGACAAGCTCCAATGGTCTGGTCACCATCTCGACGCAAGCGCTCGTTGTGGCCCCAAGTGCCTCTGCGGATAGCAGTACTAGCCACAACAGTGGTTCCAAGGGGTAAGCTCTCTGTCTTCAGCCATATTAGGATGTCCAGCGCAGTCGACGCGTCGACGTTTGTTTGCCGGTATGTGCAACGCCATCTCCGAGCGTCTGCGCCTACTTAGGACCAGCCACGTCTACCACCACAGTCGAGCGAGACATGCCTCATTGCCTACAAATGGATACCAGGAGGCTAAAACATGCACACGTTACATTCGGAAAATCATCGAGAGCGATACCTTGCCCTCAGGCATTGTGCACCCCGGGGCTCGCCCTAACCAGTACGCGGAGCGAACGACAGCGTAAACAATCACGACGTGCATGAACGACTACAATTTGACGTGCAAACGATTGTGACTTGAGTGCAGTCGCGATATCGCTAACCATCCATTCCTCAACCCAGGTTCTTCCAAAACACCGGGGCAGTCGCCGGCGTATTTACTGCCCTCTATCTCATTGGCCTTGTGCTCTTCAGCACGGTCATCATCGATGTCATTCGCCGGCGTCGGCGTGCCAGGAAGTCTGGCCGCGTGGTTGCCACAGCCGCTGCAAACGTTGCAGGGCCTGCTCCAGCGTTCACTGACGGCGACTACCCTCATGGAAGGGGAGAACCGGGAGGGAGCATGCCCCTGATGACCACCGGATACTCGGACACCACTCACAGTCGCACCTTCGCTCGACCTCCGATAGCTCGCAGAGGCAAAAGCTATGACATGGCCGAGCTCCCCCCGTACGAGAGCGGCGCTGCTGTGGACACTGCCGATATAAGCGTCATCGGGTTGGACAAGCCGCCTAGCGTGGGTGGCGCGAATCAGGCCGCGCCTTCTAACGCGTTCGCTGGGCCGCATTCACCAATGCTAAACCCATATGACGACCCTGCAAATGTCTACGGCCAGCAGCAGAAATTGCACTACACCCAACGCGGATCCAGTAACGTCCCGGGATTAGAGACGCGAGACACTACCGGTCTCGGTGCTGTTGGCGGCGCTCCCGTTGGAGGCACCGCTGCTCCTACAAATCACAGTCAGCTGCCAGATGGCGGCAAGGTCGGACCTTCTGCTCAGGAACATCATCCTCCTTTGGCCATATGGTGCGTTCTACGAGTTTCGATCAAGCTAACAACTGATGTACACGAATTGATGACAATGCGACCAGGATCGAGTCGAGGACACAGCCTCTGCAAGTAGGTGCTGTCCCGGCCTCTCCTTCCCCCTCCGACTACACAGACAACATGTCGATATCCTCGTCCATCATCCCGCCTTCGTATCACACGCATTACTCACACCCCGATCTTCCTTCGTACCTTCCCGCGCCACCTAGCTCAAACCACGGCTCCACGCAAGAGCCCCGCGCGCCGCCATCTGCCTTCACAACCAACAGAGTTCGTGTACGGAGTCGGCGTTCTCGGACATCGCCTTGGATCTCCCCCACGACTCATACGCAGTCACATCCGCCCCCGCTGCCATTTACTAGTCAAGAAGACCAGTTCGCGGACAGTCGAGAACGAGGTGCGCAGCGAGCTAGCCAGGCAGTAGACGGTGGCGTTCGTCTAGCCGGTGGGGCTTCAGACGGTCGTAGGGTTTTAGGAGAAGAGTGGGACTATCAAATTAGCGGGCTTGATACGATGCTGCTACCTGAATACGGCGACAATGTATAGTTGGAGAGGAGGGAGATAGTGGGATAGTTGGAGAGGAGGGAGATAGTGGGATTACGTAGGCGCAGCTATATTGCGCGTAAATTGAGCGCCTTGTCCTTCGTGCGCACCAAGAAGTTGGCTATTGGCCAATCACGGTCATACTTCGTGTTGGGCATGGAGTGAATTCGCGTTAGGAAGAATATGTGTACCGCCACCACGCTCGGTACGGTCGTAGAGCGTGGGCAGTGGCTCGCATGAGGTTAGGCTTGTAAGTGACCCAAGTATGTTTTCGTCAAGAAAAGAGGGGCGATCCATTTGAATCACGCTGGGAATACAAACTGTAGGTCATTGTGTGGCGTGACACCTAGATGCTTATACTCTAATCTAGTTTTATTTCCCTCTCTGGCACTGGGAAGAGCGGGCACGCTAGAGCGGCGGGATTCTGAGGTGCCTCTGGGGCACACTCTGCGCGAGCGGGTGATTTGACTTCTCTTGACACTGTTCTAACCTATGAAGTGTAAGGTTCACAATACTTGATAACATCAAACTACTCTAGCAACGCGCCTCCAACAGACAGCCAAGTCTCATAGTACATACATTCCTGAGGACCGACAGGCCCTCCCTCATGGCAGAAGTCAGATACAGGACACAGTGCACGGTGCCTGATTGAGACCCAAATTTACACGCTCCTCGTAGACAGCGCGATACACGAATCGGCTTGGAAACGGCGGGCCTCCTATCTCACCAACTTGCGGTCCTGCAGAGTCCCCGGACGGCCCGTCTCCAGCAAGATCATGATCGGATTCATTTTCCGTGTCGCCAGAAGAGCTTGCATTCTTCACCCTGACTTTCCCCTTCCGCTTCCGCCGAGAGCTGTCATCCAAATCGCCCTCGTGGTGCCGGCGACGTCGTTTGCGTATTGGTCGGTCATCCCCGCTTGTAGACATATTGTCCTCAGAATCAGTGGCTGCCCTCCGCCGACGCCTCCGACGACCTAGCTCCGTATCTACGCTGGAATCGGAATCATCACTGCGATCCGGATATCGACGTTTTCTGTTGGACGCCTTTCTGGAGCGTTGTGCTTCCTCCCGAAATTTCTGATTCTCATATAGAGCAGACTCAGGTATATGGAAAGCCGGGATCTGTTATTCGTAGCGCGTGAGGAGTGTCTGATTTCGGGATGCATGGGCACTACCGACCTTCTCTGTCTGACCGTCCAGGATCAGGACTTCCAGTAGCATCTCTACGTGATGGACCGTGAGCTCCGTTTCTGTGACTCTGCTTTTCTTGATCAGCTCCTATGAAAAGACGCGCTACTTTCAATGAAATGCGCAAGCGATTAAAGTGTATCCCAGAACGCACCAAGATCTGAAGAGCGGTCGGGTAAGAGGAGTGTGTAAGTGGGTACAGCCGCCTGCCAGGAGTTTCCTCTCCTTGTATGGCCTTCGGAAAACTCTGTACAATACGTTTCTGGTCATTGCGTCGTATGCTATTTCTGGAGGGCTACTTACACGATCTCTGACAATCTTGAGGCAGACATCGCTCAATTGTTGAACCCGGGGGGCGAAGGCCTCTCCCACGGGTGGCAACGACAGCGGATAGCCTGCAACTCACCTAGAAGGGTTGTTGGTTGTAAGAGGCTTGTTAGAGCGATGAGAGGAGATGTTCGAGTGAACTGAACTGTAGATTGGGGGTACAGAGGTCCCCTATATATACTACTGTACATCTGTGGCTACGTAGTACTATACAGTACATTCCCAGGATGCACAGTCGCACAGAGAAGCAGTGCGAACACAGCGAAGCTGTGTGTGTACCACATGAGTAGTACAGCCTCGGTTATTGCAGTAACCGGCTGTGCCGTTCCATATCTTGTGACGGCTGGATTAGGCAAGCTGTGTAAACCAGCGCCTGTTCAACACTCCCCCTCGCTAAGTATCCGAATGGTTACGCAAGCGTAGCAGGCGCTTTAAGCAGCTCTGGAC